ATTACACCCTTCGAGCTTCGCTACGGTAGGAAGCCAGACCTATCATTTCTACGCATCATTGGTAGCAAGGTCTGGAAAGTCTTCCCACGTGAAGCTATTCACCAAAGCGAAGAAGGACGCCACCTAGCTCCGAGAGCAGAGCTTGGCTACCTCACTGGATACACTGGCTATAGCGGCGCCCAATATCGCGTCTATAGACCATTTCCTAATAAGAAAGGAGGCACAATGCATGTCGTGAGAGATGCAATCATTGATGAAGGACCCGATTGGGATCTATACAATGACCCTGACACCCCGACAACACCTACTAGCATCCAGCAAGAGACCCAGCCAGCCTCTCCAGCTATTTCCGGGCCCGTCAACCTCCATGGCCCTGATCCAGAGGACTCCGACGACCCCAAAAATGACGAATTCTACGTATTGGACGAGGATTCAGATCAATCCGAGGTCTCAGACGCATCGGACGTCTCCGACGCCGATTCCAGAGACCCAATTCAGCTATTTTCAACGGCTTCAAGAGCTGAAAAAGCTGAGATTCAACGCTGTGAAGACCAGTCCACAGTGCTTCTTGCGGAAGCTGCAATACTCTCTACAGAGAGCTCTCTCCCAGCACTTCCGTCTATCCAAGACATCGAGTCTACGCCAGCTCAATGGCTCGAGTCTCCAACCTCTCTTCGGGAAGCTAAGGCTTCACCGTTCTGGCCATGGTGGGAGCAAGCTATGAAGTCGGAGATCGCTCAATTTGAGGTTCTCCAAGTATGGCAACCAGCATCTCCACCACCAGGGGCCAAGATCCTCTCGGGTAGATGGGTCTATAAGCTCAAGACCGATGCCAATGGCAGACCTGCCAAGTTCAAAGCACGTTGGGTGGCCCGAGGTAATACCCAGAGAGAAGGCATTGATTATGAGGATGCGTACGCCGCCACCGGCCGCTACGAGACCCTCCGAGTACTCCTTGCAGTCATCACATTGAAGAAGCTATATTCGACGCATTTAGACGTCAATTTGGCCTATCTCAATGCGATTTTGGAAGAGGAAACGTACATGCAATACCCCGACGGTCTCGACTTTCATGGCGTCGAACCTCACGGTAATGTCTGTCGCCTTCGTAAGAGTCTATACGGCTTGCGCCAGTCAGCAGCCAATTGGTATAAGACCCTTAGCAGCTTCCTCCTTTCCAAAGGCTTCAATGCCTCATCCTCTGATCCATGTCTATACGTACGCCACGAGCAAGGGGGTGGAATTACCATCATCTTCGTCTACGTAGATGATATGTTGCTCGCATCGACGTCTCCAACAACGCTTCAGAGAGTCAAGGAAGCGATCGCTAAGCAATGGTCTATTTCAGACCTAGGTGAAGTCTCTCACTACCTTAGCCTGAAGATCCAACGTGACCGTGAAGCCGGAATCATGAAAATAGGCCAAAAAGCCTATATTGACAAGTTTCCTGACGTCCCAGCAACCTCTCCAAGACCTTTCATCCCATTCAGTCCTAGCACCGAGCTTAGGAAAGCCGATGAACCGGCAAACCGTGAAAACGTGAAGACCTACCAGTCTCTCACCGGTAGTCTAATTTACGCCAGCACGGTCTCACGTCCTGATCTCTCCCTAGCGCTTGGGATGCTCACGAAGCATAACCTCAAACCCCACGATCCTCACTTCTCCGCCGTCTACCAAGCCGTCCAGTACGCTAAGCGAACCAGCAACCTTACGATAACCTACGGACGGCCGAAAACGAGTGGTAATACTGGTTTTGAGGACGGATACGGGTTCT